ATATTTATATTTATATATATTTATATATATACATACCACAGAGCGTAAACTCAGACTCTCTCTCTTTCTCTGTCTCTCTATCTCTATATATTCCCTGAGGGCGTATTAACCCTGGTTGCCAGAAGAGGAAGTGGAGGCAGCTCCCCCTGTGGCCTTGCGGAGAAGTGCTCTGTATTGTCATCCCACACTGGGTCAGAGCTGTACATATCTGTGTATATATGTTTACCATTCCTCATCACTTTATTCACTTACCTATTTATATTCACTGACTTTAGGTGGTTATTTTCAGTGGGTTGTGACATTACTCTCTATGCCAGTGTGCTTGGGCTGCCATAAGAGAACACCATGGAGTGGGTGGCTTTCACAACAGAAATCTGTTCCCCACGTTTCTGCAGGCTGGACGTCCAAGGTCAAGATGCTGCTAGTTTTGCTTTCTCTTAAGATCTCTTTCCTTGGCTTACTGATGGCCTTGACTTGTTCTGTCCTCACATGGCTTGTCCTCTGTGGACACACATCCCTGATGTCTCTTCTCACTTCCCCTCTCTCTTAGTCTCTCCGTCTCTCTCCAACAAGCCCATGTGGCCTGGGGCAAAAATCCACCACACCACCTGCTGGCCTCTTAATTACCTTTTTGTAGGCCCTGTCTCCAAACATAGTCACACTCAGAGTTAAGGCTTCAGCATATAAATTCTGCCAGGAACATGGTTTGGTTCATAAAATTCTCATAATTTATCTCAGTATTCAGATTTTCCCAGACGTGGCCACTGAGAGTCCCTTCAAGCTGCTTCCTATTGTCCTTTCGACATGTCCTCAACAGTTTTTGACCACATCCTCGCTTTTCTGGTACTACACCGCATGCCAGGCTCATCTCATACGTCCAGTGGAGGTATGTAGAGACCAAACCCTGGGCATTGACGTGCTCATTACCATTGGGATGTTGCTATTACAGTTCCCAGGCTCTCTCACCGCAGACATACACACACATACACACGCACACACACGCACACACACACACACGCTGTCCCGACCCGGGGGGACAGCCGAACAGGTTTCCTGAGTGAAGGAGTGAGAGCCGGGACAAGCGGCGTAGTGTTACAGCACGGAGACGACAATGTCGTCCGTTTATTGTGGGCAGCACGGTACAACACAGAGACGACGCAGTGTCGTGTCATCTACTGTGAGCAGCACGGCGACGACACGGTGTCACAGCTCTTC